CCTCTATCATGTTCTTATTAGTGGACGTGGATGAAATGACTGTAAGTAGAGAAGTTGCATATACTATTATTATTATTATTTATCTGGAAGTGAATCAAAAATATATTGACTAGTACTGCCCTTATATGAACATAAAACATTTAGAAGTTCTTCCAGTGATTAATTTGTATGGAAAATTAATAATCAAAATATCTGGGATGTTATGGGACTAAATTATTGTCTTGTAGTTGTGTGATAGTAATGAACATGGTTATGTTGCAGGACTTCAGCGCTTCCTTGGACATCAAAGCCACACCCACTTTCTTCTTTCTTAAAAATGGAAAAGAGTTTGACAAACTTGTAGGAGCCAACAAGCCAGAGCTGGAGAAGAGGATTGCTGCGATTACTGGTGGAGTTCCTCATCATCGACAGTGATTGTTGTTTCATGTCAATTTGTAGAACCTGTGTTCTTCCCTTCTCTCTTCAGAACATGTTTTCATGTGACATTGTCATTGTATTTTTCTTCAATGTAAATATATGTGTGCTTTATGCTTTACAGAATATTGATATACTGTTACCAGAACCCCCTTTCACATTTCACAATTCTCCATCACTTTCCTAAAACTATCCAACTATGTTTCAGGAGTCACAGGATTCTCTGTTGGATTTTTTGGTATTGTCTTTTGCTGAACATTAAAAATACACTGATATTATATTGTTGGTATATTGAAATTCTTTTTGATATATTTTAAAACATCAAAATTAGTTCTATCAGTGTATTTTGAAAGGAGAGCAGAGGAACAACATTAAACAATCCTGCAGAGAATCCAAATTAGTTTTCTTGCTCTTCTTTGTGAGTTTGGGACTCTGCAGGTTGCCATAAAGATAGAACTATATCCAATAACTAAAAACTGAGAAAAATATGTTAAAATATAAACAAAGTTTCATGTTGGTTAAAATAAGATATAAACATGAATTTATATATATATATAAGATTTTTTTTTAAAATAGTACTAAAAACAAATGTGAGAACTTGATTTAAAGGAGATAATATCTTACTTTCGTGAATTTATTGTTAGTGTAAATATATAAAGTTTGTCAACTTTTTTTCCATTGGCTTAACACTCATACTATAATAATTTAATTGATTAATAATGTAAAAAAACTTCTACAATACCAACGGAAACAGACGTTTGTGTACCATTTTTTACCCTTAATAATAAATTGAAAAATTAGATGTCATAGGAGTTATTATAAAGTAAATATTTTTATTAATTTTTATAATGTTATAATTATAGAGTATCTTAGGATAATATTACTTATTGTAAAATGAGTTATATTGGTAACATTGAAATAGATAACAGATATGCACATTAAAATAAGATTCTCCTAATAACGAATAGTTTTTTTTTCTTAAAATGTTTAAATATTTTTTGGGAAAATGTGTTGAAAAATAAAAAATAAAGAGATTGTATATATATATATATATATATATATATATATATATAGCGTTTGAGACATCAGATTCAAACAAAACCTTAGTGTGTTCGGAATGAAGCAATCGAAGGATCCGTTCGAAGCAGCGTTCGAGGAATCGCCGCCAGAATCTCCGACGGAGATAGAGGCGGACACAATCCATAACCATAGCCATAACCATAATCATAACCAAAACCCTATTCCTTCTCCTTCTGTTCTACCCCTCAACCCAGGGCCTCCGCAGAAGGCGAGTGCGGTGGTCAAGAACAAAGACAAAGACAAGGACGATGAAGAGGAGGAAGAAGAAGACAACATGGACGTTGAGCTTTCCAAGCTCCCTTCCACCGGCGACCCTCACAAAATGGCCAAGATGCAGTTCGTAAATCACTTCACTTCAAATTCGTTACCTTTTTTCACATTTACCAATTTCTCCCCTTTTTCTTCTTCAGGACAATTTTATTTCAGTTCAGCGAAGAGCAGATGAGTAGATACGAGTCCTTCCGGAGGGCTGGGTTTCAGAGAGCTAACATGAAAAGGGTATGTGCCCTTCTTCTCTTCTTGTATTATTCCATTTGTGTTTCGTTGCTTTGCTTTAATTAACAGCTGCTGTTGTTTTGGGTTACTCACTTTCTCAAGAAGCGTGTTTGTATTCACGTTGAAATACCACTTAATTTGATTTCAGCTATATATGTATTCACATGTTTGATTTAACGTCAATTAATATCATCTTAGGTGTATATTCACCTGTTTGAGTTAATCCAGTTAATTTGATATTATAGGAAAATGTACACTTGTTTGACTTTGCATTGAGGAACTGTGACATGGATGAATTTCGAGTTGAAGCAACTTCAATGGTTTTTGTGTTAGATAAAAAACATTATACTGATTTTTACTGTTAACGTACTTTTTGGATCTGAATTTCGTTTGTTTTGATAGAAGATTGAACCAAGAGCAAATTACATTGACAATACTGTGGTTTCTTGTTTGATATTGTACATGAGCCCTCTTTCCTTCTTTTTTTCAACGTTTACAGTAACCTTTCTTGCAGTGTTGCATTGTGTAATTGTTCCTTAGTGATCTTTCCTACAGAGCTGCACCTTGTAATGTGTTTCCTCCTGAGTATTAGGTCGATGATGTGTTTAACGTTTGTTTGTCTAATGTGCTTTATTGGTATTGTATAGAGGAAGTGACCGTAATGTATTTTAAACAATTATAAACAAGAGGAGTTGGTGTAGGGTAGGGATTAGAAAGGGAGAGGGTAGATTTGATAAAATCTTAGGGCTGTGTAATTTACTCTGGAAATAAAGAACAAGTATGGTTTTGGATTGGTGGTTTGTTGATGTTAAGGAAATTTTCCACGGGAAATTAGTAGGTGCAATGAAAATATGATGGGAGAAAAAGAATAAGGGCATCAATATCATTGCATCAAACAATCATAAAGAGATCAATACGCTGCTGTAAATACTGAAATTGATCATGTATCAGAATTGAAGCTTTATGGTTTAGCCGGGTAGGCTTGTTTGTTTCTTGATTGAGAATTAATGTCAACACTCATAGAGGATTAGATTACACCACCACCTTAGACACAAGACATTGTCAAATGTAAAAAGTTAAAGTTGTCAAATTATTTGCTGGACTTTGTCCTGCTTTTAACTGATTGAGGCAACATTTGCATTTTCTCCTTGATGATTGGCTGGGTGTGTGCATGCTGCTCCTTTTGGATTCAACTCGTGATTTTGCGTTTGTTTATGGATTATCATTCTCTATATCCAAATTTGCGTCGGTATTGCTGAAATTTTCTCCTCTCCCTCCCCTATCAGTTATTGGCTAGTATCACGGGGACCCAGAAGATTTCAGTGCCAATGACGATTGTAGTATCAGGCATTGCAAAAATGTTTGTTGGTGAAGTTGTTGAAACAGGTAAGGCTAGTTCTTCTTTGTAAGTTTGATACACTTCTAAAATCACAGTATCTACTTCTACATATTTTAACGATGTTGCTGTGTTTTATTCAGTGCAAGCACACATTTTGCATAATTCCAGTTTTTTTTGTTAATGAATTGTACTATATTTTGCAGCTAGAATAGTTATGAAAGAAAGGAAGGAATCTGGACCAATTCGGCCTTGTCATCTGAGAGAAGCATATAGACGGCTAAAACTTGAAGGAAAAGTCTTTAAGAGATCAGCCTCAAGGCTCTTCCGGTAGATGGACCAAATATGTGTTTAGATTTTGAGAGTTTTCAAAATATGTTTTGAAAATATGAAAGATATGATATATGGAGGAAGTTGTATCCAAAGACATTTTTAATTTTAAACACTAATTTAAATGAAAAGATATTACAGAAATATTTTCAATGTGAATGTTGTACATGATCTGTGGTAAATATGAATACTGTATATGATATCACTCCTTTGCAACAGATTCAATTTTGCAGTATCTCGCTATGATTTACAATCTAAAGAAAAATCACATTACTTCCAATAATGGCATATTGTTTTCATTACATAAACTTAACTAATTCCCTTAACTTACCAAATCAATTTTCTTTTTGTTGTCCCACGGTTTATTATTCATCTTTATTGAGGTAATACATTTGTATCACTTTTAAAACTAAATAGGTATTCAACTTTTTAAAATGGTTTGATGATAATTATCAATGATAAAGAGGATTTTCTCTTTTTAAATAACTTTTTTTAAAACTAAAATGATAATTAACTTGTTCTTTTTATCCTTTTAAATGGTTATTTACTTGAGTTTAATTGTTTTTAAAATTAGATTAGTTGTTATTTATAACAAAAAAGAAAGATACATTCACATGTTTTCACTAGTAATTATTAATAAAAAAAATATATGTAATAGGCACATGTGTATTTGTTTTATAATAAAATTATTATTATGGACCTTTTTTTCTTTGTGTAAGGAAAAAGAAGAATCCGATTATAAATATTAATCATATTTGATATGTGAATCTTATAACTAAACCATAATCGGTTCTCCACAAGTATTAATTTGACAGTTAAATATTTTAGATCAATAATTGATTTTAGTCCTTAGAAATACTTTTAACCTTTAAAATCAGTTTTATTTAAATATGTTTCAACTATTCAAGCATAAAACATGTTTATATTTGTCGTTTTTTTTTCTTTTTTAAATAAAAAGTAAAATAGGTTGTTAAGGTGTAATAGTAACCATAAAATCAATTTTCCAAACAAAATTATTTATTTTCAGAATCAATTCTGAGTATTATAATTGGTATAACACATTTTGGTTATAATAGGTTACGTGACTAATTTTAAAAAAATACAAATAAAACCAGTTTTATCACACCAAAACGAATTATGATTTGATTATATATAATATCCATGTTTCAAATATTATATATAGGTATCAAATGATTATAGTTATTTTTCTCTCTCTCTGATTCTCACAGAAGAATAGTTATATGGTTAAGTATGGATTATCCTAACCATGAGCACTCAAGATATTAAAGAAACACTGACACTGACATAAAACAACATAAATATAACTAAGAATAGCATTGCATAAAGTAAGAAAAAGGTAGAATGATGTCTCTATGAATAAAAAGTTGAGAAGAACATGTTCTGAAATTCAAGCTATTGGCTTCAACACATACATCTTGCAAGAATGCGGTTCAACAGTGACAGTCATTTTGCCCACGAACTGTCTTTCCAATGTCTCGTGCTGCATACATCAGAAAAGAACATGTGTCATTACAGCATCAGTATCCATTGAAAAACAACGTAGAATTTGTGACTAAATTGTTGTATTACCTCCCAAAGATCTCTTGCCTGAACAACAGTTGAAGGGTCAAGGCCGATATCTTCCCATTCTGCAGTCATCTCTGAAAGGCGATCACTCCATTTATTCAGTAAGAGAACAGCCACCCTGTATTCTGAAAGAGGACCTGCCCAAACCTGATCAAAAATCACATTTTCATTACATTCTTGTTTCTTTTCTTTCTCATTCAACCGCATGCATGCATGGAATCATTGCTCTCATGCACCTTCAACTGTGTGGTGTTATTTGAAGTTGAACAGTAGTGTTTAGGTTGAATTTGTGGTGTTGTTTTAGGATTGAGTCCAAGGTGTGTACATTACATGGTGAAATTTGTTGCCAAAGGGGTTCAATGGACCTGAAAATCTGATACCATTGATGAGATTTTTTTAAATTAGGAAGAGATTATAAATATGTGAGGTTGAGTCTAATCCACATAAAACATCAACACTACTTTTAACTCAAAAGTTCAAGACAATGAACTTCTGAGTCTTTTTTTTATATGATATTTCACTTTGTCATTTTTATCGACAAGACTTAAACTCACGTTTGGATTATTTCTAAGTGAAATTTACATCGAGTGCTCCTTCCATCCTAACCCTTTTAGCTTGTACACCAAGTGGATCTGAAATTGGAACAAAAACATGTTAAAAAACCACACACATAAAAGGTCATTATAGCTTAATGTATAATGCAGAACTGATAGTATAGTATCTCTCCACCTTGGTTAACTGCAATAACCTCTGCATTTGACAGTATCTCTAGAGTGTCATCGTCCATTTTTCCAAGATCACAGCCAATAAGAAGAGGAGCCTGCAATAAGTCTTTGCATGAAAAAACAGAATCTACAAAGTGCAGTGTTTAAGCATGGCTTTTTAAATAGCTCTTACAAAACTTGTATCTATTTCTAATTAGAAGACAATATTCACACGACTTGCAATTCAGTGCATGAACAATCTAATCTGAAGTATATGTCTCTTCATAGAAGTTACATACAAGCATGACAAGACAATGTTTAAGATGGATGGTACCTTGGAAATGGCCCATAAACTGAAGTGAACAACGTATTCATGTTTCTTCATCTTTCCATTTCCTACCTCCAGCATGTCAGGATCTATTGATTTTAAGGATTATTAAAGAATGGTGCACAGTAAGATGAATATAAAAGAGATACTCTCTCATGAGTTATCAGTGAAATTCATACCATTCCAACCACCAGGTTTTGCAAAATCAGCATAAACATCATTTCTGTCTATTCTTGAAACCATTCTGCCAAAAGTGAACAATTTTACATATATTTTCTACAATCACTAAGCATAAACCAAACTTTGTTACAATTTCTTGCTTACCTTTCCCCAGTTATCATCAATGTCATCACTAGTTCTCCAGCTATTTCCCACTGGAAAACCCCATAATGCAGGGTGCATGTCTCCCCTAAGAACAAAGAACATGTAATCAGAGGGAAAAATTTGAAACAATCAACATTCTAAAAGTAAACAAAATTACCATTCACATAATGAGAAGTAGATTGGACGGCCTGCCTTCATCAAAGCTCGAGTCATAATAGGATATCTAAGATATCAAAAGAACACAACAATTTTCACTTTTGAGTACCAAGATAAGATTGAAAAATAACCATAAAAGTGCTATTAAATATGTAACTAGCTTCTGCTACCTTTGAAGAGGCTTTATTCCACCATTGTTACAATTATCATACTTGAGATAATCAACACCCTGCAAGAAGAAACAATGATATTAATAAAAGTTTGTTGAATTGACAGAAAGTCTTTCTATNAAATATGATGGGAGAAAAAGAATAAGGGCATCAATATCATTGCATCAAACAATCATAAAGAGATCAATACGCTGCTGTAAATACTGAAATTGATCATGTATCAGAATTGAAGCTTTATGGTTTAGCCGGGTAGGCTTGTTTGTTTCTTGATTGAGAATTAATGTCAACACTCATAGAGGATTAGATTACACCACCACCTTAGACACAAGACATTGTCAAATGTAAAAAGTTAAAGTTGTCAAATTATTTGCTGGACTTTGTCCTGCTTTTAACTGATTGAGGCAACATTTGCATTTTCTCCTTGATGATTGGCTGGGTGTGTGCATGCTGCTCCTTTTGGATTCAACTCGTGATTTTGCGTTTGTTTATGGATTATCATTCTCTATATCCAAATTTGCGTCGGTATTGCTGAAATTTTCTCCTCTCCCTCCCCTATCAGTTATTGGCTAGTATCACGGGGACCCAGAAGATTTCAGTGCCAATGACGATTGTAGTATCAGGCATTGCAAAAATGTTTGTTGGTGAAGTTGTTGAAACAGGTAAGGCTAGTTCTTCTTTGTAAGTTTGATACACTTCTAAAATCACAGTATCTACTTCTACAGATTTTAACGATGTTGCTGTGTTTTATTCAGTGCAAGCACACATTTTGCATAATTCCAGTTTTTTATGTTAATGAATTGTACTATATTTTGCAGCTAGAATAGTTATGAAAGAAAGGAAGGAATCGGGACCAATTCGGCCTTGTCATCTGAGAGAAGCATATAGACGGCTAAAACTTGAAGGAAAAGTCTTTAAGAGATCAGCCTCAAGGCTCTTCCGGTAGATGGACCAAATATGTGTTTAGATTTTGAGAGTTTTCAAAATATGTTTTGAAAATATGAAAGATATGATATATGGAGGAAGTTGTATCCAAAGACATTTTTAATTTTAAACACTAATTTAAATGAAAAGATATTACAGAAATATTTTCAATGTGAATGTTGTACATGATCTGTGGTAAATATGAATACTGTATATGATATCACTCCTTTGCAACAGATTCAATTTTGCAGTATCTCGCTATGATTTACAATCTAAAGAAAAATCACATTACTTCCAATAATGGCATATTGTTTTCATTACATAAACTTAACTAATTCCCTTAACTTACCAAATCAATTTTCTTTTTGTTGTCCCACGGTTTATTATTCATCTTTATTGAGGTAATACATTTGTATCACTTTTAAAACTAAATAGGTATTCAACTTTTTAAAATGGTTTGATGATAATTATCAATGATAAAGAGGATTTTCTCTTTTTAAATAACTTTTTTTAAAACTAAAATGATAATTAACTTGTTCTTTTTATCCTTTTAAATGGTTATTTACTTGAGTTTAATTGTTTTTAAAATTAGATTAGTTGTTATTTATAACAAAAAAGAAAGATACATTCACATGTTTTCACTAGTAATTATTAATAAAAAAAATATATGTAATAGGCACATGTGTATTTGTTTTATAATAAAATTATTATTATGGACCTTTTTTTCTTTGTGTAAGGAAAAAGAAGAATCCGATTATAAATATTAATCATATTTGATATGTGAATCTTATAACTAAACCATAATCGGTTCTCCACAAGTATTAATTTGACAGTTAAATATTTTAGATCAATAATTGATTTTAGTCCTTAGAAATACTTTTAACCTTTAAAATCAGTTTTATTTAAATATGTTTCAACTATTCAAGCATAAAACATGTTTATATTTGTCGTTTTTTTTTCTTTTTTAAATAAAAAGTAAAATAGGTTGTTAAGGTGTAATAGTAACCATAAAATCAATTTTCCAAACAAAATTATTTATTTTCAGAATCAATTCTGAGTATTATAATTGGTATAACACATTTTGGTTATAATAGGTTACGTGACTAATTTTAAAAAAATACAAATAAAACCAGTTTTATCACACCAAAACGAATTATGATTTGATTATATATAATATCCATGTTTCAAATATTATATATAGGTATCAAATGATTATAGTTATTTTTCTCTCTCTCCCATTCTCACAGAAGAATAGTTATATGGTTAAGTATGGATTATCCTAACCATGAGCACTCAAGATATTAAAGAAACACTGACACTGACATAAAACAACATAAATATAACTAAGAATAGCATTGCATAAAGTAAGAAAAAGGTAGAATGATGTCTCTATGAATAAAAAGTTGAGAAGAACATGTTCTGAAATTCAAGCTATTGGCTTCAACACATACATCTTGCAAGAATGCGGTTCAACAGTGACAGTCATTTTGCCCACGAACTGTCTTTCCAATGTCTCGTGCTGCATACATCAGAAAAGAACATGTGTCATTACAGCATCAGTATCCATTGAAAAACAACGTAGAATTTGTGACTAAATTGTTGTATTACCTCCCAAAGATCTCTTGCCTGAACAACAGTTGAAGGGTCAAGGCCGATATCTTCCCATTCTGCAGTCATCTCTGAAAGGCGATCACTCCATTTATTCAGTAAGAGAACAGCCACCCTGTATTCTGAAAGAGGACCTGCCCAAACCTGATCAAAAATCACATTTTCATTACATTCTTGTTTCTTTTCTTTCTCATTCAACCGCATGCATGCATGGAATCATTGCTCTCATGCACCTTCAACTGTGTGGTGTTATTTGAAGTTGAACAGTAGTGTTTAGGTTGAATTTGTGGTGTTGTTTTAGGATTGAGTCCAAGGTGTGTACATTACATGGTGAAATTTGTTGCCAAAGGGGTTCAATGGACCTGAAAATCTGATACCATTGATGAGATTTTTTTAAATTAGGAAGAGATTATAAATATGTGAGGTTGAGTCTAATCCACATAAAACATCAACACTACTTTTAACTCAAAAGTTCAAGACAATGAACTTCTGAGTCTTTTTTTTATATGATATTTCACTTTGTCATTTTTATCGACAAGACTTAAACTCACGTTTGGATTATTTCTAAGTGAAATTTACATCGAGTGCTCCTTCCATCCTAACCCTTTTAGCTTGTACACCAAGTGGATCTGAAATTGGAACAAAAACATGTTAAAAAACCACACACATAAAAGGTCATTATAGCTTAATGTATAATGCAGAACTGATAGTATAGTATCTCTCCACCTTGGTTAACTGCAATAACCTCTGCATTTGACAGTATCTCTAGAGTGTCATCGTCCATTTTTCCAAGATCACAGCCAATAAGAAGAGGAGCCTGCAATAAGTCTTTGCATGAAAAAACAGAATCTACAAAGTGCAGTGTTTAAGCATGGCTTTTTAAATAGCTCTTACAAAACTTGTATCTATTTCTAATTAGAAGACAATATTCACACGACTTGCAATTCAGTGCATGAACAATCTAATCTGAAGTATATGTCTCTTCATAGAAGTTACATACAAGCATGACAAGACAATGTTTAAGATGGATGGTACCTTGGAAATGGCCCATAAACTGAAGTGAACAACGTATTCATGTTTCTTCATCTTTCCATTTCCTACCTCCAGCATGTCAGGATCTATTGATTTTAAGGATTATTAAAGAATGGTGCACAGTAAGATGAATATAAAAGAGATACTCTCTCATGAGTTATCAGTGAAATTCATACCATTCCAACCACCAGGTTTTGCAAAATCAGCATAAACATCATTTCTGTCTATTCTTGAAACCATTCTGCCAAAAGTGAACAATTTTACATATATTTTCTACAATCACTAAGCATAAACCAAACTTTGTTACAATTTCTTGCTTACCTTTCCCAGTTATCATCAATGTCATCACTAGTTCTCCAGCTATTTCCCACTGGAAAACCCCATAATGCAGGGTGCATGTCTCCCCTAAGAACAAAGAACATGTAATCAGAGGGAAAAATTTGAAACAATCAACATTCTAAAAGTAAACAAAATTACCATTCACATAATGAGAAGTAGATTGGACGGCCTGCCTTCATCAAAGCTCGAGTCATAATAGGATATCTAAGATATCAAAAGAACACAACAATTTTCACTTTTGAGTACCAAGATAAGATTGAAAAATAACCATAAAAGTGCTATTAAATATGTAACTAGCTTCTGCTACCTTTGAAGAGGCTTTATTCCACCATTGTTACAATTATCATACTTGAGATAATCAACACCCTGCAAGAAGAAACAATGATATTAATAAAAGTTTGTTGAATTGACAGAAAGTCTTTCTATATTCAAATACTTGTCATACACTTGTTGTAATAAATCAAACACTATAAGTCTCAATTTTGGCTTTTCATCTTCAAGCCTTCAAGTCTGCTAATCATTACAAAACATGACACACTAATGACGATTAACAACATTCTTTCTATCACTCTTTACTGCTAAATCAAGAGGGGAATTGCTAAGTGATTAGCAGAACATGCCAAAATTTCTAATTTCTAATAAACTTTAGCTAATTATAGAAAAAAGTGTTGTTGACATTCATCGTTAATAGATAATCAGGGTCATAAATATGTGTGTATATAATATACCCATGATGCGAAAGTCTTGGCATCTTGCTCTTCATAGCCAAGTGAACCAGGCATACGTTTTGCACAAGTATAGTACCTGCAAAATTACCCTCAAACACAGTTCTACATAAACCTAAACAATGAAAGAGTTGAACAACATATGTATTTTTTTTGTTATATCTTGTACCCTGCATCTGCATAAATGCCAAGCTTCAGACCCTCTCATGAACATAATCTGCTAGGGCTTTGATGCCAAAAGGAAAATGTTTTTTATCAGGTACCAAATTATCCTGTAACAGACAATTTGGATCAAATACTTTATTAATTTCAATGAAATCATTTTAATTAGGTTTAAAGAGATGAAGAAACAAAACGTATACTATCAATACAATCCATACATCGATATCTCGAGTCATTTCACCCCAGCCATCATCTGTAATGTAAAGAATTGTTGATCAAGGTTACTTGCAGTTCTTATGTCATTTTGCAAACTAAAATGAAGTGAAATAAAAATAAAGCTGGCTATCAACACTGGAAAAAAAATGTTTTTTCATTTACCTATGTTAACGTAAATGTACCCAAGCTCAGAAAGACCAGAAGAAACAAGGACATCAGCTGCAAAACAATATGAACAATTTTGCAATTAGACTGTGATGTTGAATTGAATATTCTAGATATACAGTACTCATGCATACTACATTGAACCACAATTCTTTACTGTCTTCAGTAAAAAGGTTACAGGTAAAAATAAATAAAAAATTATGAACTCAATGGGCCATCTGATTCCACTAAAAATCCTTTCTTTAAAGTTTTAAAGTTGCTAATGTTTGTCCCAGATGAACAAATGTTGTGTTTATGGTACCTGGAAGTAACATGCTTTATTGAGATAATAATTATTAGTGATTCTTTTATCATCTGCTAAAATTAGATACCTGCTTTTCGGATGATGGTTTCATTTATATTCTCGTGATAATGATTCCAGCTATTCCACCTGAATCACAAATCATAAATGTTTGAATGCATCAATCAGTAGTAATTTATTGTATGTTGTGATGTTTTTTGTATGTGATGTGATAATTGTAGCAAGTGGATAAAAGAACTTAATAATTGCATATACATAGATTTCATACCCCATTGGAGGAGTGAGACCAAGGCCATTCGCAGGAAGATTTCTCCTATTTTGGCTTTCAACATTCCTCATCAACCTTGAAGAATCACATAAAGAGCAAAACAATAGTGTCAGCACAACAAACACCAACATTTTTCCTCTCTTCATTCTATCAATTTACTGGTGATGAGGGAAAATAAGTGTATGAGTTGTGTTTGAATATATTAAGTGCGCTTGGGCCCGCGTGAAACTAAATGGTATAGGAGTATTATGGCATTGGGATGTGAGAGAAAGGAGGAGGAAATTATGTAATAAATGTTTCATGCAGTGAACGTGAATGAAAGAAATTTATTGGCATGGGTTGCACTGGAAAAGTTTTGTATAATAATATATTATGGTTTATATATATTAGGATGGGATTTACATGGTAGTTCACGTAAGGGTTTATTTCCATGAAAATATGATGCATGGACTTAGGAGTAATTATGGTATATTATATATGTATATATGAATTTACGGAAGCAATTATGGGATGGCTAGTGAGATACATGGTATTTGGCATGTGACGAAAGTAAATTAACAATAAACTTCTCTTAAATAGGTAGCATAGAATATTTTTACATTAATATCGGAAATTGCAAGAGATATGCAAATAAAGGGAAGTATTATACAAAATTTCCTATTTAACAGAAATATATCAAAGGTGAAAAATAATAATCTAAAGACATAATCAAATACATTAACACTAGGATCTTACTAGCAACTCTTATCAACTCGGCACCTTGAAGCACCAACCTCTCCACCTTATAAGATTCACTCTATTTTTTATAAGATTCACTCCATTTTTTCGGTAATAACATAAATAAAGGACTTAACAAGAATCATATATGAGCAGGCCTTGGTATACAGAAGCAAACATAAATTGTATGGAACAAGAACAATTAACAAGCTCAAACACCAGTCCGAAAAAGATGATGGTTGACTTTGGAGACAGGCATTAATATATCTAATTGCCATTCTCATATAAAACATAAACATCATACGTTGTTGGTAAAGTACAAATATCACAAACAATGCTAGAAGTGTCAGTTCCAACCGATACCCTCTTCTTCTTTTGCCAATTGCCTCTCTCATCTCCATCTATCTTTTCTATTTTTCTCCCTATCAAGGGATCAATAGCAGGTACATGGACTCCACACACAGAAATAGGTATATATGATTTTTTTTTTAATTTTTCTTTTGAAATAATTCTTCTGGTCATTATATACCTATCTGACAGAATCGATTCTGAAAACCTTAAGAAGATACAATTAGAACAAAGTTCCCGGTGTTATACTTTGATATGTTTGTGTTGAGAAGTGACTGTATTAGGATTCCTTAACTTTGATTTCTTTAAAGTTAAAATCAAACAAAACTTCTTGTATTATGGTTTGTGGAGCCCACTTCACATGAGCGTACCTTGGGAGTTAGGACACACATTTTTTGCTGCTTTACTCCTACCTGACTTTGCCATACATTGCTAAGCAATGGAAGATAATATAATAGAATAGAAGCTTTTCTTGGCTTTAAAGCTAGAGCAGTGACATGACACGGTCTCTACTTGCACACCACTCTTCTGTCTTTGATCCACTCCTATGTAAGAAAATTTAAGATGATCACTTATATAATTTGGTCCAAAACATCATAAGACATCGTGCCTAGGCAACCAACTCTATGGAAACACACGTGAGATTTGGATTACGTACAATTTCCTTGGTCCTTTTTCTGACTCTTACTACAAGTTTAAGCTCAACTGCATTTGATGTCAGTGAATATGAAGATGGGGAAAGCGTTGATATAGCAAATTCTATCTTAAGTTTTGGGTATGTATTAGAAAACCCTTTTGTTAATTCTTATTTCTGTCCTTTTTAACTTTTGGTACTTAACTATATTTGTTGGGGTTAAGAAATGAAATGGAAGACATGGAAGAAAACGAATGGCAGATGGTGCAAACTAAAGCAAACCAATTTGTGGTGAACGACCAACCTTTCTATGTCAATGGATTCAACACTTACTGGTTGATGGTATTTGCTGCGGATGAGTCTACCAGAGGAAAGGTCACTGAGGTGTTCAAACATGCATCCTCTGTGGGCATGACAGTTTGTAGGACTTGGGCCTTCAATGATGGCCAATGGCGTGCTCTTCAGAAATCTCCATCAGTTTATGATGAAGACGTGTTCAAGGTCAGTGCTTCTGATTTATCTGCTTGTTATTTTCATCCCTTTTTATGTTCTACTGAAAACAGTATCACGATTACTTCTCTTGTATAGTCAATTTTTTCTTCACTGTTGTATTATATGGTTAGTAGTTATTAATGTTTTAAGTGATGATACTGCCGATTTTCTAGTTGTATGTGCAGTTAAATATCAATCCTCATGCAATTCCATTTCATTGTTTGAACCATAGGCGTTGGATTTCGTGGTAAGTGAAGCAAAGAAATACAAAATAAGACTTATATTATCACTGGTTAACAACTGGGAGGCTTACGGTGGCAAAGCACAGTATGTAAAGTGGGGCAATGCAGCTGGCCTCAACCTGACCTCTGATGATGCCTTTTTTTCACATCCAACTTTCAGAAGCTATTACAAGGCTCATGTTAAGGCATGTAGTTTCTTGCAATCCAGTAGATAAAATACCACTTTTTGTAAAGTCTGTTTTGTTATTTGCTGCAATGCTTAACTACCTAAAAACTAATTGGGTTTAGTACTATTTTTAATTGTGTAGACTGTGCTCAATAGAGTTAATACATTCACAAATATCACTTACAAGGAAGATCCAACCATTTTTGCTTGGGAACTGATGAATGAGCCTCGGTGCAACTCAGACTCTACAGGTGATGTGTTACAGGTTTGCCCAGGTCCTGTTGAACTATTCTTTCAGTTTGTAATGCATAAAATCATTGCATTCAATTAATCAGTTCCATCCATGATATCACATCTTGTGTCCAACTGAATACATTACAGGATTGGATAAAAGAAATGGCATTCTATGTGAAAAGCATTGATACAAAACATCTGGTGGAGATTGGACTGGAAGGATTTTATGGCCCCTCGACACCTCAGAGATATCAGTTAAACCCAAATGCATATGCTCACCAGGTCGGAACTGATTTTATCAGGAACCACCAGGTTCTTGGTGTTGACTTCGCTTCTGTTCACATATATCCAGACTCATGGTAAGTTACTATGTTTATTCAATGATGACATTTGCAATAGTATGTACAGTATCATAAAAATGAACTACTGCTGATACATTAATGTACTATGCCATAAGTGTCTTCTTTGCTTTTACCGTTCATCTGATTATCTGAAATCCAAAATGATTGTGAGAGTTTCTAACTATTATTTGATTACCTTGCCAAAGGATTTCACAATCAATTGCTGATTCACACCTCCCATTTATAAAGTCTTGGATGGAAGCGCACATAGAGGATGCTGAAAAGTATCTCGGAATGCCTGTTGTTTTTGGTGAGTTTGGTGTGTCTGCAAAAGCTCCTGGCTTCAATTCATCATACAGAGACAACCTTATAAACACTGTGTACAAGACAATCCTAAACTCTACCAAGAAAGGAGGCAGTGGAGCTGGAAGCCTTGTGTGGCAGCTCTTTCCTGATGGAACGGATTACATGGATGATGGGTATGCAATTGTTCTCTCAAAATCACCTTCCACATCAAGCATTATATCCCTTCAATCCACAAGGCTAGCCCTCTTCAATTCCTTGTGCTCTACAAAATGTCGTTGGGGTTGTAAGAAGCGAAATGTGTTGGAAACAGCACTCTATCATGACGAACTCTAATACCATATGAGGAAAGTTGCAAACTTCTGCTATGTAAAAAACATGTATCCGGTGCATCCAAGATAATAGCTTCAGTATGAAAATGATACTACAGAGAAAAGTGAAGAGAAGAGATAAATATGGGTATGCAGCATACCATTGTATTGATGCCAATAGTTACACTTTGTATGTTCTGACAGTTGTGTGGCAATTTGTAAAATAAGCTAGTAATTTTGGTGTGAAGAACTATGTTATTATATCAGTGTCAACTCTTGTAAGCAACAAGAAGCACAATTTCGTACAAGAATACTATTCAGATGATAGAACTATACGGAATGGAACTAAATACATAATATCATCCTGGATGTAAGTAAGTAACTTCATCTGGTAAGTGTCAATAGAATGCAGCACTACTTGGCTGTAAGTTCTGTTTCAAGCATATAACTCAAAGTTACGGTCTTAGAGATAAGGTTCAACCGATCTTCAAGAATTCACCTTTTGTAGAAAGAAACCATAGGAGATAACTGATTAAGCTCGCACAAGCACTATGTGATCCTGTTTGAAATTTTTGTCATATACGTAACATGAAAGACATAAATGTATACTGTAGCAATAATTTTTCCCTCTGTATGCTTTGATATCCTCAGGCTTATCGAATGACTGAAATTGAGTAGAAAATTTCCCCTTGATTTAAACTTGGGGAGGAAAACCCAGACACAAAAAAAAAGAAGAAAGAAACTGGAACAAAATCTTATAATTGATGGTACTCAATTCACATGTTTGGCTGGCTGGCTGGCTGGCTGTGGAACACCTTTGAATTCAAATGCCTCCTCCTCATCCTCCTGCTGCTGCTGCTGATAAAAACAATATTACCTTAGAGGACTTCAATAAAAAGTGATATGATTCATAGTTCTTAACAACAAAATAACAAACAAATGAGTGAACTGTCACCAGTAACCCAAAAACTAAAGAAATCTGTCGTTTGTACAGTGAGAAACTACCTTTCAGGTTAACCAGTAATTTTTACATCACCTTGTGAAGAAAAAGAGAATGCACAGGTACAGGTTACACACAAAAGTGATTTTCTTTAATTCTAAACTATCTTGCTTGGTTTCTTGCCAAGGAAACAGTAGATAACTCTAGATACAGTTTCAGAAGAAAACATGGGCGCCAGCATGAGGAAATAGAAATGTTATCAGATCAAACTTGACTATACAAATCTGATAGATAACCAATGATTAAAAAAATGAAAGATTTAAAAATGAAACAGTATACCCACATTGCTATGCAGCTCACTTTCTGCTTAAGCTTAGTTTTGAAAGTACTGCAGCTGCCTGATCACCACCCAGAAGAAAATAAGGATGTCTCAGAGCTGCAGCAGCAGATAAACGTCCTCTTCGTAGGGAACCTCTCTCAGATACAAGCCTTGTAGCTAAGTCCCACCCTCTACCAGATTCACCATCTAGAATTTGGAAGTCAGGCCTGTTGCGAGTATAGTCCCTCCATTTTTTCAGATCATATCCACAGTTTTTTAGTTCCAAGTTGAAATTCTTCAAAGCAGCAGAAGACCTCAAGGATGGAATTGCCATTTGAAGAAGTACAATCCCAGCTGAATACATATCAAACAAATCAGGGCTGTTTAACTGCACAATAATCACATAACTCCACTTTAGCACTTCCTCAAAAAAACAAATGTGTGGAATAAACAGTACGCGACTAAGATATAAACAAATCTTTTAGTTAATATCTTAACTAAGTCGGAAGATTCTTAACTATGAGTCCTCAAATTTTAATTCACAGAACAATCCTATTTTTGTGAACTGATCTTCGCCAACATGCTGCATGAATGGAGTGAAGTTGTTACGTACCTGAGTACGCAAACTATCCAAATACAACCTTTCACACTCTCTCACACGTAATAGAACAATAAACACACGTAATAGAACAATAAACGAATAACAATGGATGAATGAATCTCTTTTATTGATGATAATATCTGAATAAACAAGGGTAAACAATAATTGGGAGCATAACCTCCTTCAATTACTTTGAGAGCATAACCTCCCTCACAAGACAATAATGTCTGTCACAAAACTCAATAATCAAAAGCATCCCCTTTAACCCTAGACTCTAACCTTATTTATATTAATTATTTCCCGCCCATCTCTTATTAAATATTCCTCTAGAATATATCTGCATTTAATATAAATATCCTTATATTTATTTAATATAAATATCCCTATATTTAATATAAATATCTCTCCGTATATTATCCTAGCATATATCCTTAATTATAAATATCTTATATTGAATATTTCCCTAAATATATATTTATTTACTCTAATTAACTTATACTATATTTATTTACTCTAATTAACTTATACTAAATATTCTCTCTGCTCATATACTTTCTTTAGTACTATTTTTAATTGTGTAGACTGTGCTCAATAGAGTTAATACATTCACAAATATCACTTACAAGGAAGATCCAACCATTTTTGCTTGGGAACTGATGAATGAGCCTCGGTGCAACTCAGACTCTACAGGTGATGTGTTACAGGTTTGCCCAGGTCCTGTAGAACTATTCTTTCAGTTTGTAATGCATAAAATCATTGCATTCAATTAATCAGTTCCATCCATGATATCACATCTTGTGTCCAACTGAATACATTACAGGATTGGATAAAAGAAATGGCATTCTATGTGAAAAGCATTGATACAAAACATCTGGTGGAGATTGGACTGGAAGGATTTTATGGCCCCTCGACACCTCAGAGATATCAGTTAAACCCAAATGCATATGCTCACCAGGTCGGAACTGATTTTATCAGGAACCACCAGGTTCTGGGTGTTGACTTCGCTTCTGTTCACATATATCCAGACTCATGGTAAGTTACTATGTTTATTCAATGATGACATTTGCAATAGTATGTACAGTATCATAAAAATGAACTACTGCTGATACATTAATGTACTATGCCATAAGTGTCTTCTTTGCTTTTACCGTTCATCTGATTATCTGAAATCCAAAATGATTGTGAGAGTTTCTAACTATTATTTGATTACCTTGCCAAAGGATTTCACAATCAATTGCTGATTCACACCTCCCATTTATAAAGTCTTGGATGGAAGCGCACATAGAGGATGCTGAAAAGTATCTCGGAATGCCTGTTGTTTTTGGTGAGTTTGGTGTGTCTGCAAAAGCTCCTGGCTTCAATTCATCATACAGAGACAACCTTATAAACACTGTGTACAAGACAATCCTAAACTCTACCAAGAAAGGAGGCAGTGGAGCTGGAAGCCTTGTGTGGCAGCTCTTTCCTGATGGAACGGATTACATGGATGATGGGTATGCAATTGTTCTCTCAAAATCACCTTCCACATCAAGCATTATATCCCTTCAATCCACAAGGCTAGCCCTCTTCAATTCCTTGTGCTCTACAAAATGTCGTTGGGGTTGTAAGAAGCGAAATGTGTTGGAAACAGCACTCTATCATGACGAACTCTAATACCATATGAGGAAAGTTGCAAACTTCTGCTATGTAAAAAACATGTATCCGGTGCATCCAAGATAATAGCTTCAGTATGAAAATGATACTACAGAGAAAAGTGAAGAGAAGAGATAAATATGGGTATGCAGCATACCATTGTATTGATGCCAATAGTTACACTTTGTATGTTCTGACAGTTGTGTGGCAATTTGTAAAATAAGCTAGTAATTTTGGTGTGAAGAACTATGTTATTATATCAGTGTCAACTCTTGTAAGCAACAAGAAGCACAATTTCGTACAAGAATACTATTCAGATGATAGAACTATACGGAATGGAACTAAATACATAATATCATCCTGGATGTAAGTAAGTAACTTCATCTGGTAAGTGTCAATAGAATGCAGCACTACTTGGCTGTAAGTTCTGTTTCAAGCATATAACTCAAAGTTACGGTCTTAGAGATAAGGTTCAACCGATCTTCAAGAATTCACCTTTTGTAGAAAGAAACCATAGGAGATAACTGATTAAGCTCGCACAAGCACTATGTGATCCTGTTTGAAATTTTTGTCATATACGTAACATGAAAGACATAAATGTATACTGTAGCAATAATTTTTCCCTCTGTATGCTTTGATATCCTCAGGCTTATCGAATGACTGAAATTGAGTAGAAAATTTCCCCTTGATTTAAACTTGGGGAGGAAAACCCAGACACAAAAAAAAAGAAGAAAGAAACTGGAACAAAATCTTATAATTGATGGTACTCAATTCACATGTTTGGCTGGCTGGCTGGCTGGCTGTGGAACACCTTTGAATTCAAATGCCTCCTCCTCATCCTCCTGCTGCTGCTGCTGATAAAAACAATATTACCTTAGAGGACTTCAATAAAAAGTGATATGATTCATAGTTCTTAACAACAAAATAACAAACAAATGAGTGAACTGTCACCAGTAACCCAAAAACTAAAGAAATCTGTCGTTTGTACAGTGAGAAACTACCTTTCAGGTTAACCAGTAATTTTTACATCACCTTGTGAAGAAAAAGAGAATGCACAGGTACAGGTTACACACAAAAGTGATTTTCTTTAATTCTAAACTATCTTGCTTGGTTTCTTGCCAAGGAAACAGTAGATAACTCTAGATACAGTTTCAGAAGAAAACATGGGCGCCAGCATGAGGAAATAGAAATGTTATCAGATCAAACTTGACTATACAAATCTGATAGATAACCAATGATTAAAAAAATGAAAGATTTAAAAATGAAACAGTATACCCACATTGCTATGCAGCTCACTTTCTGCTTAAGCTTAGTTTTGAAAGTACTGCAGCTGCCTGATCACCACCCAGAAGAAAATAAGGATGTCTCAGAGCTGCAGCAGCAGATAAACGTCCTCTTCGTAGGGAACCTCTCTCAGATACAAGCCTTGTAGCTAAGTCCCACCCTCTACCAGATTCACCATCTAGAATTTGGAAGTCAGGCCTGTTGCGAGTATAGTCCCTCCATTTTTTCAGATCATATCCACAGTTTTTTAGTTCCAAGTTGAAATTCTTCAAAGCAGCAGAAGACCTCAAGGATGGAATTGCCATTTGAAGAAGTACAATCCCAGCTGAATACATATCAAACAAATCAGGGCTGTTTAACTGCACAATAATCACATAACTCCACTTTAGCACTTCCTCAAAAAAACAAATGTGTGGAATAAACAGTACGCGACTAAGATATAAACAAATCTTTTAGTTAATATCTTAACTAAGTCGGAAGATTCTTAACTATGAGTCCTCAAATTTTAATTCACAGAACAATCCTATTTTTGTGAACTGATCTTCGCCAACATGCTGCATGAATGGAGTGAAGTTGTTACGTACCTGAGTACGCAAACTATCCAAATACAACCTTTCACACTCTCTCACACGTAATAGAACAATAAACACACGTAATAGAACAATAAACGAATAACAATGGATGAATGAATCTCTTTTATTGATGTTAATATCTGAATAAACAAGGGTAAACAATAATTGGGAGCATAACCTCCTTCAATTACTTTGAGAGCATAACCTCCCTCACAAGACAATAATGTCTGTCACAAAACTCAATAATCAAAAGCATGTCTTTAATCCTAGACTCTAACTTTATTTATACTAATTATTTCCCGCCCATCTCTTATTAAATGTTTTTCTAGAATATATTTAATATAAATATCCCTATATTTAATATTTAATATAAATATTCCTATATTTAATATTTAATATAAATATCCCTATATTTAATATTTAATATAAATATCCCTATATTTAATATAAATATCTCTCCGTATATTATCCTAGCATATATCCTTAATTATAAATATCTTATATTGAATATTTCCCTAAATATATATTTATTTACTCTAATTAACTTATACTATATTTATTTACTCTAATTAACTTATACTAAATATTCTCTCTGCTCATATACTTTCTAACCTTTATTATTACCCCTACCTTAGATCGTAACAGAAGTAGTATACCTGCCAAAGGATTGGAGAAAGGAAAGCAGCAATTGGTTCTGGTGGTGGACTTGGTGTTTCTTCTGGGAGTACATATAATTCTGGGGGGCAATAGTCAGGATCTAAAAGGGTACGGTTGGGAATATAATTCTTTCCAATCCGCAAGTCTGTTGCTGCACCAAAATCAATGAGTTTAATCTGCCCTCGTTTAGTAACCACTAAGTTGGCTGGCTTTACATCCCTGTGAACAATGCCATTATCATGAATTTTCCTCAGAGATGTAATGATCTGGCGCAGTATTTGTTTGATGATCAATGCATTTCGTTTTGAAGAGTCAACACCTTGCAGAACACGTCCAAACATCACAGGTTCTAAGTTTGAAGGAAAGTTTCGATCCTTCATGTAATCAGCAAGAGTGCGATCCCCCTGTGACACAAGCAACCTTCCAATTAGTTAAATAAATGGAGAACTAAACGAGACTAAGATGGAAAATTTAATTTATATTTACAAGATGGCATTCAACACCATGAAAAATACTTTTTTTTATAAAACTCCTGACAGTTAAATAGGCATGATTAGTTCATCTATGGCTATTGTTGATGCAATAGAAATACAAGCTAGAGCACCTCAAACTTCCAAACAAGCCATTTTCCACCTTTTGTAAACTGTGAATTTGTTTTATCAGCTACAAAACTTCCAAGAAACTTAGCACATGTTTCAGGAGCTGCTCTGGAGAGTCTGTAATTGAACCACTCCTCATAATCACCAAACTCCGCAGCACCTTGAATTTCCACCTTAACCTGCACATCCCATTAATCAGATGCAAAATACCTTTTTTAGACTACATAGTCTAAAAGTAGAAAATGGATATTCAGCAAATCAAGTATCCAATTTACTGGTTTAAACATTTGAATTATACATCTTCCTTCTCTTGATCAGAAAACAAGAGTTTATAATAGAGAAAAAAGACAGAATGAATGAGAATCCTAATCATCAAAGGTTTAGTAAAAAAATTCAGATATAGTTCTTTAAGCATTCCTATCCAATCAGAATTGGAATTTCAACTCAATATTCTGCATAATAAAGGGATGTGTTGAGAATCAGTAAATTTACCAAAGGTAAAACTCTATCTAAGTTTGTGCATAGAACAAACAAACACCAACATAAGATCACTGTTTTTTCCTTCCTTAAAGAAGTTCCTACAATAGTACCTTTTTAAGAATGACTTTATCCTTAGACTTGGGTTCCACCTGCGTTGTCTTGCCTCTTCCCCTCTTCTGCACCAAATCAACACTCCCATTATTCCCATTCCCATTCTTCGGAACCAAAACACCCGAATAGACAACACCTAAAGACCCTTCACCAAGCTTTTCTCCAACCACAAAGTCACTCCTCTTCAAGTTCCTCCTTCCAACCAAATTGTCCAACCCCAGTTGAAGAGGGGCCAAAATGTATGCATCAATGGCACCAACAAGCACACCTGGCCTCGCAGTCAGGTAAATCCACGTCAACCCACCAAACACGAGAACCGCCCACCTCTGCATGTCAGATAACCCTTCAGTCACTCTTTCAAACTGCACTATTCCCGATTGGATACTTTGAAACTGGTCCATGCCAACACTGTTCTCCACCAACCCTTTGGCCACATCACCAAACACTGCATGGCACTTTGCAGAGTTGCTCTTCAAACGGTGGTTTGAGTTTTGCAAGAAAGAAGCATTGTTTGGAGTTGTGAGCTTCATGGAAGAGGCCATTTGGCTGTGTTTGAGCGTGGAAGTAGCAGTTGGAGTTGGAGGGAGCAGAGAAGCCATTGGATGATGATGCTTCTCAGATCAGAGGCACCACTTTTGCCACTTCTTCTTCTTCTTCTTCTTCCTATTCATCCATTCTTTCTCTTGGTCCAAATTTAATGCCTCATCCATCGTACTTGGAGCCACAGAAAAATATTAAACACGTGTAACACTTTCTTTAGATTATGGAAAATAAATTTTTTAAACTTATTTTAATACAATTTATGATCTTAATTCATCATAAAATATGCTCAATTTTACAATATATTTGTAAAAAATAATATACATACATTTGTTTAAATTCAGTCTGAAATTTATAATATTTTAAAGTAAAATGCGTTTAGTTCCTCTATATTTTGCTTAAAATTATTCTTATATTTTATCATTTCTCTTTAAATATTATCTTTGATGTTTTTTTTCTTTAACTATGAATACCCCGTGATCTTAAATTCTACACAACAAAATATATTTGCCGACCATAAAAAAAATTGAGTGACAAAAAACATCATTTATTATTTCTTTTTCTCTTTCTTTAAGGTTAAAAGTAATACTTTTTTAGAATTTAAGTATGAAGGCCCATCTTCACTTTAATTAAAATTCTTTATAATAATATAAACATTAATAAATAATTCATTTTAATTTTATTAATGTTTCAAACACCATCATACTCATCACATAGATGTTGTGTTCTTGCTTGTATTTTTCTTACATGGAACATGTCTTACTATATATATTGTTTATAAAAATGTAACAAAAATTATTTGTCAATATCATTTTAAAATAATGAATAATTAGAAATATATTTTCTTGAATAATTAAAAATAAGGTTTGGTGGGAAACGGAATTGGTGGTTCTCCGATTCTTTCTAAATTGCCAAACTTTAATCTTACAATTTATTTAATATTATCATTTTAATTATTACATTATTGTATTATTATATCATTATTATTAATTATTATTATCATTATTGTTATTTGTTAATTTGTTATTACATTTTTACACTATTCGTTTCTTAAGTTATTGTCTTCCAACTAACGGTTTTCTTTAGCCGTTCCGTTCCATTCCGCGGGGAAATTCTCTCTGCGTTACCATTTCATTTGCATTTGCATTTTCACCTCGATCCAATCCCTTTCCTCTTCTCCTCAATAGCACACTGTGTTTGTTTCTTCAAGGTCAGGTTGGGGTTCCTTTCTGTTTTGGTTTCTACATTTCTTCGTTCATTTGCTTATTGTATGATTGTTGTTGTCATCCTTCAATTGAATGGTTTGTTGTTGTTGCAGCAGGAGGGGGAGGGGGAGGAACAATCGCCAACATGGATGCAATATGCGGTGCAATGAAATGACATTATTTTTCCACCAATGTGGGCTTAAAGGCCCATCACGTTGCATCATTTGTTTACCTTTTTGCTATTTGGTTGATTTTTAGATTGCAAGCAATACAAGAAGAGACAAGAAGAGGGTTTTTTGTTGATATTATTCTATTTTGAATCTGGTTGGAATTGTATAGCCTTGTTCAGGGATTGGCTTGCCAATGTACTGAACAAGTTTTGAATTTGAGTGCACCGCGTCAGGGGGGGATCGTGGAGTGCTATGGAACGTAATGCTCCAAACATTCCCCCCTCTGAAACTTCCCATCCTCGCCGCAACAGGGTTCGTCCCAAAAGCAGCGTCCAATTTGATGATAACACCCTCTTTCATTATGACAATGGCAACGTCATCTATGTTAATGATCCCACCAAGACTAATGAAAAGTATGAGTTTTGTGGGAATGACATCCGAACCAGCAGATACACTCTTCTCAACTTCTTGCCCAAGAATCTGTTCATTCAGTTCCACCGGGTCGCTTATCTCTATTTCCTTGCCATTGCTGCCCTGAATCAGCTTCCTCCACTAGCTGTTTTCGGCCGAACCGTGTCCCTTTTCCCCCTATTGTTTGTGCTTTGCGTCACTGCTATCAAGGATGCCTACGAGGATTGGCGCAGGCACAGGTCAGATTGCTATGAAAACAATCGTGAGTGTCTGGTTCTTCAATCGGCTCAGTTCCGTTCCAAGAGATGGAAAAATGTGCAGGCTGGTGATGTGATTAAAATCTTAGCCGATGAGATGATTCCTGCTGACATGGTCTTGCTGGGGACAAGCGATCCTAGTGGGGTTGCTTATATTCAAACAATGAATCTGGATGGTGAATCGAATTTGAAGACACGGTTTGCCAAGCAAGAAACAGTTTCAGCGTTTTTGCAAGATGCTTGTGCTGTCTCTGGAGTTATTAGATGTGAACCACCTAATCGGAATATCTATGAGTTCACTGCCACCATGGAGTTAAATGGCCATAAGATTCCCCTTAACCAGTCAAACATTGTTCTGCGTGGTTGCATGCTGAAGAACACGGATTGGATAATTGGTGTTGTGGTCTATGCAGGACAGCAAACAAAAGCAATGTTGAACAGTGCAGCTTCCCCTTCCAAGAGAAGCAAACTGGAAAGTTACATGAATAGAGAAACTTTGTGGTTGTCAGTTTTTCTTTTTATCATGTGCGCAGTTGTTTCCCTAGGGATGGGTCTCTGGCTGGTACGCCATAAGCATGAGCTTGATACCTTGCCTTACTACAGAAAAAAATTCTTCAACAAAGGGCCAAATGAGGGAAGGAAATACAGGTACTATGGGATAACAATGGAAACTTTCTTCTCCTTTTTGAGCTCTATTATTGTGTTTCAGATAATGATACCAATATCTCTATATATCACAATGGAGTTAGTTCGATTGGGCCAGTCATACTTCATGATAGAGGACAAGGATATGTACGATTCTAAATCTGGATCAAGGTTCCAGTGTAGATCATTAAATATAAATGAAGATTTGGGTCAAATACGCTACGTGTTTTCTGACAAGACAGGAACTCTAACAGAAAACAAAATGGAGTTTCAGAGAGCCAGTATTCATGGAAAGAGCTACGGGAGCTCCTTGCATACAGATGATGAAAGTACAGGTATTTTTTTCTTTATTTCAGCTTCACTTGAGGTCATTATGTAATTCCAGTTTGCTTAAAGGTGTGGAACGATGCGTTGATCTCTGTCATGCTGATATAGTTTGAAATTTGCTGAAAAGCTTTATGTGTGTTGCACTGAGATCATTAGAAAAATTTTGGTTTTCATGGAAGTTTCAGTGGTGCGCTAGTTTTGATATTTTTGGTATATGACAATGAGTGCTTTACTGGTGCCCGTAAAATACACCACCATTTCCCAGTAGCACGATGTTCTCTTGGGCTTTCATTTTCTGTTTATTTACCTAAATAAATCCTGGGATTGACCTGTGGAATATGTTTCATTCATATCTATAGATCTGTATATATGTAGGACTGACTTTCTGTCTCGAAATTTCCGCCTCATCTTAGACTTGTCTGATGAAATGTCCGTACCCTTCAATAAGTTTTTTCTATCATCCACCATTTGATTATGTTGTATGTTTGAGCTGAATGACTACTTGATTTCTCTTTAGAATCATCTATAAGCTTATGATGCAATGAAAATTTGATGCTGAATATGTGTATCACAAACCGAATTTTGGTAATGTTTTGCAGAAGCAGCAGCCAATAACAGTAAACGAAAATGGAAACTCAAATCTGAAACTCCTGTTGATTCTGAACTAATGGCATTGTTGCGGAAAGACTCAAATTTAGATGAAAGAATTGCTGCTCATGAGTTTTTCCTCACATTGGCGGCTTGTAATACTGTGATCCCCATTATCAGTAGTGGTAAAGTTTCCAGTTGTGGAAAAGATGAATCAAATCATGAAATAGAAGGTATTGATTACCAGGGAGAGTCTCCTGATGAACAAGCTCTAGTTTCAGCTGCATCTGCATATGGATATACTCTATTTGAGCGAACATCTGGAAATATTGTTCTTGATGTCAATGGTGAGAAACTCAGGTAAATAGCGACTTCCATTTGGCGCGAAACTATATGTTTTGCTTTCCAAATGTTTTTGGGCTTTTGTATTTAATGAAATTGACTTTTATTTACATAGCATTTAGAAATGCAGCCTTTTATGTTTTGTGTGGTTTATATTCAATTAATCATTTCTGTGTGCATTATTGTAGGTTGGACGTATTGGGCCTGCATGAGTTTGATAGTGTGCGAAAGAGGATGTCAGTTATTCTCCGGTTTCCTGATAATGTTGTTAAGGTGTTGGTTAAAGGCGCTGACAGTTCAATGTTTAGCATTTTAGCTCCTGACAAAGAAGGAAACAACGGAATACAGCATGAAACTCAGAGTCATTTAAGTGAATATTCTATGGAAGGTTTACGAACTCTTGTAGTTGGCTCCAGGGATCTTTCAGATGCTGAATTTGAGGAGTGGCAAAACATGTATGAAGATGCAAGCACTTCATTGACTGATCGAGCTGCAAAACTACGTCAAACAGCGGCTCTGATAGAATGCAACCTAAAGCTTCTCGGAGCAACTGGAATTGAGGACAAGCTGCAGGAGGGTGTGCCAGAAGCCATTGAGTCCATGCGGCAAGCTGGAATCAAGGTCTGGGTTCTTACTGGTGATAAGCAGGAGACTGCAATTTCAATTGGTCTTTCTTGTAAACTTCTGAGTAGAGACATGCAGCAGATCATTATAAATGGCACTTCAGAGGTTGAGTGCAGAAAGCTCTTGACTGATGCTATAGCAAAGTATGGATTGAAATCTTCAAGTAGAGAACATCAGAATCTGAAGTGCAAAACTGATTCTAGACATGATTGCCCTGATATTCACGATAATACAAAATCATTGGGCTTGCCCAAGTCAAATGCATGGAAAAAAGAAGGAACTACTGCTCCATTGGCACTCATAATTGATGGAACCAGTTTAGTTTATATTTTGGAGAAGGAACTGGAGTCAGAGGCAAGATTAACCTTGCTCACTTGAAATTTTCATTAGGAATATTTACACATATTGGAAAACTGAAGCTTAATTTATTTAAGTGCTGTTTATGTTGGTATCAATAATTTCATGGCAAATATTTACTGTTTTCCATTTTCCTTTCTACAGCTTTTCAAACTTGCAACTTCCTGTAGCGTTGTGCTATGCTGCCGTGTTGCACCCTTGCAGAAAGCAGGAATTGTTGATCTGATAAAAAGCCGCACAGATGATCTGACATTAGCTATTGGTGATGGTAAGTTCTTCATAATGATATGAAATTAGTATACTTTACATTTGTACCTTTTTGGGTGCCCGAATCTGGCTAATAGTTGAGGTCATCAAGATTCTTTTGCATGTAACTTGTTATTTGTATGATCAGATGCATTTAAAACGAAGATTTTCAGTGTCTAACTTATGACCTCTTCTGTTTGTGTTTTACTACTTTGGACAGGGGCAAATGATGTGTCGATGATCCAAATGGCAGATGTTGGTGTTGGAATATGTGGGCAGGAAGGGCGCCAAGCTGTGATGGCATCAGATTTTGCCATGGCACAATTCCAGTTCTTGAAAAAATTGCTTCTGGTTCACGGACACTGGAATTATCAGCGTGTTGGTTATCTTGTTCTGTACAACTTTTACCGCAATGCTGTCTTTGTGTTGATGCTATTCTGGTATGTATAGCTTTCTTTTCATACTGCAGGTTGACTTCCACCTATTTATTCAATATAATTAGTCTTTCTTTTAACTTGTTGATTCATTCTTGTGCTCAGCATATATACACATACATATGTACATACATATACATATACATATACATATGTACATACATACATATGTACATATATATATATACATATATATATATATATATATATACATATATATATATATATATATATATATATACTTTTTTTTTTTTTTTGTTATTTGTTCTTTAAATATTTGTAGGCTTGAACTTGAACTTGAAAATTTTCCTTTTCACTATTTTTCCTACATCAACTGGGAAAAGGAATTTATCCAAGTTTGTATGTTAACACTTGTCAGTGAAGTTCCCCATTAAGAATAGTCTGCTTCTGGCTGTATGCTATGCTATCCATGTTCAAATTTGTAATATGTTGGAGGATGTATTGCCAATTCTTTGGCTTGGTCGTAGAAGTAATTTAGTTTTACATAATGAGATTTTATAAAACTTTTATTGATTCTATCACGGTGTCTTCCTTGTCCGTAGGTATATATTATGCACTGCTTTTTCTACAACTTCTGCATTGACAGAGTGGAGTAGTGTATTTTATTCTGTTATATACACATCTATCCCCACTATCATTGTTGGTGTGTTGGACAAAGACTTGAGTCATAGTACACTCTTGCTGTATCCAAAATTATATGGTACAGGTCACAGGCATGAGGCTTACAATTTGCAATTATTTTGGATTACAATGATTGACACGTTATGGCAGAGTCTTGCTCTCTTCTACATTCCCGTATTCATCTATAAGGACAGCACAATTGATATATGGAGCATGGGCAGTTTATGGACAATTTCAGTTGTTATCCTTGTAAATGTACACCTGGCTCTGGACATTAACCAGTGGGCACTGGTTAGTCATGTTGCTGTATGGGGATCAATAATCGTTACATATGGCTGCGTGGTGATATTGGATTCTATACCTGTCTTTCCCAATTACGGGTTAGTCAAAGTCTTCCTATTAGCATACTATATTTTAGATTAGTACTGTGGGATATATAGCTAATGTGCCTCTAATAATTTCAGGACTATTTATCATTTGGCAAGTTCCCCTACATATTGGATGACAATTTTTCTTATAATAATCGTGGCATTGCTACCTCGCTTTTCTTGCAAAGCCTTTTATCAAGCCTTTTGTCCTTCAGATATCCAGATAGCCAGAGAAGCTGAGACAATGACAAAACAGCATGATAATTTGCAACCAAAGTGTCCAGTTTCCAAATAACTCGAGTTATTATTAATCTTGTAGAAACTAGAGAATCTCATCGGAATGGTTTCCACTGTAATTTTTCCATCACATTGCATTCTTGTGGCAGTTGGCTGTACAAGTGACCAGGCAAGTGTATGCTTTCTCTGTTTAATCCAAAACATATTTTGAATGGTGTTCTTTTATAGTTATTTATTGATATTTTATTTAATTTCATTGAACGCAGTGGTTTTCAAAAACGGAGAGTGAATTTAATAGTTTTAGATATGTATTACTAATAGTCCAAAGCTATCTTAGAATAAGTAGTTAAGAGAGACGGAGATATCTCAATGGTTTATGATAGCGCTTTATCCCTAATGACGAAATAGCAATGCTGTTACTCAGATTTTATAGAATTTAGAAATTGTATCTTAAAGGTTTTAGGTACTGGTCCTTGAGTAGCTAATACTCAACGGTGTCAAAATATAAGGACCAATAATTACCAATAATAGCATCTATAGGTGTGACCAAAAATCATATTTATGGAAATTGAGGACCAAAATCTTCGTTAAATATTGAATTTACGATTTGATTTTTTTCGTCAAAATTTGGACAAATATTCAACATAGATAAGGGAGATATTATTTTGGAGTTTTAGGGGTAAAATGAGAGCTCTCTATAATATTTATTTGTAGCATTATATTTAGATATTCTTTATACAAAACTCTGTACTTTGCTGTCTGTCTTTTTTTTTGGGACTTGGCCTTCAATAATCATTGGTATCAGATAGTATGCTGAACCTCTCTGTTTTTTAGTCAGCTATATATTCCTCTCTTTGTAAGATGCTTAAGATGTAATAATTCAGTTACACTTTCAGTTGCAATTGTTAAAATTCAGTTACATTGTCTCTCTTTTACTTTTTGATATTCAAGTAGTATTTTTTATTTCTTTTTGTTGCTATAAAGGTTTAAAAGCTCTTGTTGCATGTTGCAACTTCATTCAACTCAGCCTATCTATCAAATGGCACCATGAGTCTTTGATTTGGGCAACAGTCAGATGAGTATATTATAATTGCCTTGGGAATAGTTTTGCATGAAAAAACAACGATGGATTTGATGGGTGGTTCTCTCTCATCAAAATGAGTCTTCAAATTTAAAATATTCAATTATATAATTTCTGAAGGGAGAATGGATGTCATTTGGCAGCAACAAGGATTCCTCTCTGCAATACGAGAATTTATTAATTTGTTAACTAAAAATCTGGCTTGCTTTGGGTTCTGTACTGTTGGTCAATCTTATAGAGGAATCTCCCATGGCACGGAGTTCTCCCCGCACTAGAAAAACCAAACTTTGGCATTTTGAGTTCTTTGACAACATAAATCCCAAATTTATGCTCGATGTATGCGACTCTGCAATGCTTATCCACACTGTCTGCATTGTTTACTGCTAAAATATCCTGTGGCAATGAAATTTGGACAGTTATTTAAGCTATTTTGGTTAAGAATGGTTTTTATTGGACGCTTTCTGAGATGGTTTTTGTTTACATTTGCCAACTCCTTGGATGGTCATGGGTTTAGCAAACAGTTGAGGAAACATGTATTCAGTTTATGTTTTGTAACTGACAAACGAGTTAAAAGCTCACCATTGAATGTCACCAATTGCTATTTTCTACTGTGTTATTTTCGAGTGACTATTATGGTTATTGTACCAGAATATATATATATATATATATATATATATATATATATATATATATATATATATATATATGCATGCATATGTACATGGATGAAGATGGAAAAATGTTTGTGCTGACCCCTTCTTTTACAGAAATAAAATAAGCACTCTTGTCAAGTGTTTAGGTCCGTTTGTACTTGGCCCTAATCTTTTGTGAGGTCAATTCTTCAGGTGAGTAGCATCAGCAAATTGCAACAACTCAAAATAGGTGCTCATCCTGCACAGTAATCAAGTATGTCGTGGGGAATCACATATGAAGCCAAGCTTAGTAAATGCATCACATAATGAAGGTAAAAGGGAGAGGAAGAATGAAAGAGAGTTAAAGATGAGAAATGATACTTTCACCCACAAATTTTTTACATTAATTTCACACTACTTTTCCTAATTTTTTTACTCTCTTTGTTCTTCTAAAAGTATAAAAATTTACTTAATGACTTGTTAAATAGATACTCTGCAGTTGATTGTGGGTGAAATCTAAAAAATGGGGCATGGCATCATGATCATGATCCACTTGTTTGAGAGAATGGTTACTGTACAGAGCAACCAGATGTACAAAAGTCATGTAAAAATCAAGCTTGTATTATCCTTATAATCCCCTTTTTGAAACAGGAAAGAAAAAGATAAACTGTCTCAACAAAAGATAAAATAAAATAATGCAATTTTCTGCAATCCGTACAGTCCCTTTTTCCAGTTTATAGTCAAACCAACAGACAACCCTGCAAAATGCTTCAACTAAGACTGCAAGAGGCACATGAGAAATCAAGTCTCACTCTTTGTTCTGGAACTGAGCTACACTGAAAACACCAAGCAAATTCGTTTATTCTGTTTACATTCTTGTGCAACACTTCTAACAAAACTAACTTAAACTTTATAATAAATGTTTACTTATAGATCTAGAAGAGAAGTATGTACAGATATGGTTCTAAACAATGAACTCATACTTTTTCCACTCTTTTTTGTGCTAAATAACTTTTCCATTCTCAATTGTGAGTCTGTGATAGTTTTTCAAACTATAGACTCAAATCTGTCAGTATATAAATCAATAACCAATGAGTTGAGAATTTTACGTTAACTATAAATAACTATAAATAAAATAAGATTTATAATATATTAATAGATGTAAATTTATTTTATAAACTGATTTTATAGAATTAAGTTAAAATTAAAATTTATTTCTTAACTATTGCGAAACATTAGTTATAATTCAAAATTTCATTAATGCATCTTAGAAATTCATAATAGAAAGCTTTTATCAAATATAACTTAAAATGATGATATGTAAGAACGAAGTTTGGTTAGAAAACTTCTACTATAAAAAAAATCACAACGTAGATTATCTAAAAGTCTAAAATTTTAAATTCCACAAAAACAAAAGTAAGAATTTAAAAGTTCCTATATATTTTTTTTCCATTCTTTTTCCTGTTTAGCTTTAATGTGTCAATGTATTATTCTTCTAGAAAAGATGCGTTGCAAAGTTTATAATGGGTGACAGCAACATTCCGTACAACCCGGAAGGGTAACATTGTCCTTTCACATCCAAACATAGTCACTGTAATGCTCTCATGTTACATGTCTCTTCACGTCATCATATGACACAATCACAGTGACATCAGCGCAACAATCTTCACACACCTGGCACATCCTAAGCCATCGATTGTTATGTGGGTCTCAGTTTTGTTATTCAACACCAAGTGGTTCTTTATTCTTTGTTTAATGTAGGCACAAATGCACCAAAATTCATTCATATAATAATAATAATAATAATAATATAATGATTATTTAAATGAAGGATCGAGAATAAATAATTGCTATCATGATGAGCAACTTTTGCAAATTTAAATGTTGTTTCTGGTCCGATTTCTAACCTCTCTCTCTTTGTCACTATGCCAACCATAGTCAACAATACATTTGTTTATCAAAGAAATACGAGAAAATGAATGTGAAAGAAAGAAATAATTTAAATACAAAAAGTTAGTGCAAAATATATTTATGGATGTATCACTTTAATCCTAGCATCTACGTAGTAAGTCACATTAGATAAATAATTAAATACGACAACAGCTTAAACACTTGGATAGGGAAAATTTATTAAAATATTATAAATAAGAATATCTTAATTATTGTTATGATAAGTAAATGTGAAATACAATAAATGGATACTATTCATTTACATTATACAAGTAATTTAGTAATCAAACACTAATCAAGTATTACGACCACTTGATTGTGTAACCTATATATACATTGTGCGTGTAAATTGTAAATTTATTACATCTCATGTGAAGCCCACTTTTCCCTTACTAGAAAATTATGAAAAATAAGATTTTGATAAAATGTGATATAATTATTTTATTTGTTTTTTGTTTTAATTGTAAATAATATAATTTTAATTTTATCTTTTTATTATCCTTTTATTGTAATTTTCTTTCTAAATTAGAAAGAATAAACTATAGGACTAATATATTTTTTTTAATGGAAAATTTATTATTTTTATTTCTTTCGCAGTTTTCCATTTCAAGCCTTTTCTCCTCTCACAAAGGAAGTGTAAAATTTTCATTTAAAATAACATTGAATGCCAACCAACTATGGGCTAATTCACGTTTATTTCCTTGAAACGAGTGAATCTGAAAACACATTTACACATTAGAACGATTTTTTTATTTAAGTTCAATTTGTATATAAGTTAAAGGGTAAAAGTAAAAAAAATGTTTTTGAATTGATAATATGTTTAAAATAATGAGATTTAATTATTTCAATAATAAAACTTTGAAGTATAAATAAAATTATTATAATGAATTTTATTATCTTAAATCATATTATTTCTCTAAATTTCTTTTTTTCTAGAGTTTTTTTTACTTTTTTTTAGATTTTTTAATCATTCATTTATGTATTTGAAGATCAGAAACCGTTAGGGTGATTTTTGAGGCGAGTTCTGCTCTTCTATCAATAGTTTATGTAATAGAGTAAGTTAGTTTTTATTGTTTATTCTATCTATGCACTTAGACCATCTTTGTTCGCATGTGGTGTTTAGGCTTTCTTTAAGATTTTTGTTGATCAGTGGTCCTAATAGTGTGTCATAATCGTGTTTGTATTGTTACTAGGAGCATATAGAACTTCATGTGCGTATGGAGGTGTTTTCAGGAATGCTTGAGTTCTTGATCTATCTTTCAGGTAAGTGAAGCTAATTAGATTATTTTAAGTTTTATACAATTTTAAATTTGTGATTTGCATGATTGGTTTGTATGATGAAGTTAGATCAGTTGAATATGATTGTTTTGAATGTTTGCCTTGTAGTTTGTTTGGTTTGAGTTTGTGTTATTAGAAACTTAGAATTTGATCAATTGAGTCAATTGGTACGTGCCCCTAACATTAAAATTTGTTTTTGACTCAAATACTAAGAAGGAAATACCAATTTGACCATTTGAACAGGTCCCATTTTTCAAAATCACAAAATGTTCATCTATTGATATTTGATATAACGTTGAGAGGTGGCAAGCTTGCACTGAACACTAGTATATTGTGCAAGTTTTGAAGCATTTTAGCTCTAGACTGTTGAATGTCAGTCTTGTACTGTTGAGCACAAAAAAATACAAATACTTTAACATTGAGTGATACCAGGGCATCGTTAAGCGTCATTGTCCACTACAGGTCTAGAGTAATTTTAGTTCTAGAATGATAAGTGACAGAAGGGTGTTGTTGAGTGCGATATTTTGCAAGAAGAATGACGTTAAGCATCAAGACTGTCGTCAAACTCCACCTTTTTGCAAAAGGTTTGTTGATAGTTAGGATTGTTACTTTGCGAAATATTTTGCCCTAAGCTCCACTTCTAAGCGACAATGTATATGTTAAAATTTTCTTATATGCTTTAACTTGTTTGAGACAGAATTACCATGGTTTTTGTGTATGTTTAAGATCTATTATGATATTTTTTTGGATTGATAATAGTGTTGTGAACATGTGTGATAAATTTGTTAGAAGAAATTTCAAGGAGAAGTTCTTGTAATGATTTCAGTAGTGTATGTATTGAAATATGAATTCTGTGTTGTGAGTTATTATGTCTCCAATAACCATCCAATCTCAAGTAGAGAATGATGAAGTATGTGGTGAGAGGAGCAAGAAGCCCTAGTATAGGGGCTTTACTTTGTCCAAAGATCTTAAGAGACTAACGTTGTGTGTGGTACGATGAGATTCATTGGCAATAGCTCTACAGAGTAGTAGAGATCACCACAAGTGCATAACTTTCCAAAATCTGATATCAAAACATGTATCTAAATGGTTAAGTTTAGTATGAATAATTGTAGGTGTTGGGATTGTTGATATGAATTATTTACTTTTGTTAATATCTCTATATGTGTCATATGATTGTTCTTTTTGTACATTAGCTTCTTTCTTTTTGTGTTTGTTTGCCTTATCACCCTAATGATGTGAATAAATGAGAAAGTAATCCAATACCGGACCAATGCCACAACTATGTAGGATAAGAATGATCCATGTTTATGTTTGTTTTAAAAAAATATTATTTTTTTATTTAATAATATGTTTCAACTGTATAATATAATATATATATATATATATATATATATATTATCTGTTTCTAAATATTATTAAAATAAGATGTTACACTGAATTACAAAGTTTAATTATATAAACTAAAAAAATTATCGAGAAACAAATAATAATTGTTTTTAAGTTTAATATAAACAAGTTTGCATTCAACTAAAAACAAAAAGTATGCTTCCTCTACTCATGAACAAAGTTGCCACTTATAGTTGTTACAATTTATTACATCAGTCAACATTGACACCATAAGTATAAAGCACAAAACTAAAATATATACAAACAGTACATCAAAATACTTTTTTTTCCTCAGTTTTATTTCTAAGTGGGGTCACATTCTCAAATTTAAAAAAGTTCATGGATCTTGCAGAATTAAAAAAAATGTTTAACTAACACGATCTTGTCATTTTAGAAAGGAAATCCTGACAATTTTTTAAGTTCGTAAATTTCTAAACCCTAAAATAATATGAAAAGGCCAATCACCGGTGCATCCGGTAATGTACCTTGTACAGTGGTGGACCAAACACAAGTGTTTTACAACGTCAAACCAACCAATAATATATATACATGCATAAACAAACATGTACCTATCTAAACAAAATAAAATAAAAAAAAACAAAAGCTACCAACTTTCTTGTATATATATGAATGTAAGAGGCAAGAAGAAGATTTGGAGAAAAGCAATTAAGATAGTTTAAGAGAAGAAGAAGGAAGAAGAAGAAGATGGATCAAAGAAAGGTGTTGGAGGAGCTTCTGAGAGGTTATGAATCTGCTACTAAACTTCGAGTAGTGATGAATGAAAAAGATGAGTCAGAAATAAGAACCCTTCAATGTCTTGCCAAGAACGTGCTTAGATCCTTCACCAACACCCTCTTCCTCTTGAACTCTCATCACCATCATCTCTCTCATCTTCTCTCTCCCACCAAATCTCAGGACTCCCAAGAAAGTTCCAAGACTTTCACCAGTTTCAATAACAGAAGAGGCTGCTACAAGAGAAAGTAATCATTTCTTCTTTTTCTGCAATGCTTCTCTTCCTTTTTAGTGACACAGAATTGATTCTTAGACTCGGTTTGTGTGCATGAGCTAGGTTTGAATTTCACTTTGTTAATTTGAGTTTCAACATTTTTGGATCTCCAAGATAACATATAACTGTCCCTTTGGAACCTAAATATGGTCATTGTTCTTCTGTCTAAGGTGGTTGTTTGATGGTCCCCATCAAATTGTTTAGCATTACTATTCTGATACTATATAAGGTTGTTTTTGTCTTTGATTGTTTGTAGTTTTTACCCTTTTGGTTTTGCTAGCTTATTGTCAAGTTTTAGTGTAAATTAATCAGCATTAATTTGTTGTCTATGCAGAAGACATCCACAAGAATGGGAGAAGATTTCAGAAGCTCCACCAATTGATGGCCATCAGTGGAGAAAGTATGGCCAAAAAGAGATCCTCAAAGCCAAATACTCAAGGTAGGTATAGCAAACTTATAATTTCATTCACCTAAATTGCATCTTTTTCCTTAACTAATAATGTGTTGTAACCTGTGCAGGAACTATTACAGGTGCACTCACAAGTATGATCAGAATTGTCAAGCAACAAAACAAGTGCAAAGAATTCAAGAGAATCCTCCCTTGTACAAGACCACATATTTAGGCCACCACACATGCAATGACTTGCTAAGTTCTGAAATCATACTTGATTCCAATGATTCTCTTTCTGACACTTCCATACTGATAAGTTTTAACAACAGCTTCCCTCCAACCAAGCAAGAATGTCCCTTTTTATCATCCTCTTCTTCTTCATCATCATCATCTATCAATCCCTCACCATCACTGATCACAGAGGAGATAATTCCATCATGTTATGATTACATGCTACCCCCAGAACCCACTTTCGATGATTACTCAATGCACAATAATGTCACTCCACCACTCGATCACTGGGATGATATGTCTTCTGCCTTGTGTGATTCTGACATTGAAGAAATCAAACGTTTGTTAATGGATTCGGATGATTGATTGGGGTTGCCAAATTTCTTAGATCATTTAACATCACATAGTATCTTTTATCAATTAACTAATTTGTGGTGAAAGTGATATCTAGGAAACTTCTACAATTGTTCAATATATGTCGTTATCATACACATGCACATTTATGGAGTAAATTAATTTGACCAGAATGGTCTTTCTTTTTCACTTATAGACAATATGATTGTGTGTGAACAATTTGCATGAGTTTAGAACTTTGAAAAGAAGATCTTCATGGTACTATGCGTATCTATCACCAAATATAAATACACAGAAAAAACCAATAAAATGAAAGAAGAAAGAGTCATGAAAAGATGGTACTTTTTAAAGATAAAGATATAAACAATGTAAAGCGATGCACCAACAACCCCATCATTTTCAATTTACTACTTAGGCTGCTAAAAAACTAGTGCTTTCTGCACAAATTGGATTTTTATCTACCTTTTTTTTCATAAAAATATTACTTATGAGAATTATCTCCATTAATTATAAATTATAAGTTAATTTTATTTCTAGTGGATGCATGATCTTCAACACTTTAATTCAACCCTACGTGTTTACTAAAGTGTAAACAAGCCGATCTCATCTACTTCAAGAATATGATGTTTGTTATTATCCAACTTATTTTAAAAGAATAACATATAATAGTTTACTTTTTTTTATGATATAGCTTCTTAGTTAATTCTTGTTGGCAAAAGTTATTTAAAAAAAATGTAAAAAAGAAGAAGAAGAAGAACCCAGAAGAATAGATATAATCTTACACAAAAAGAGACAAGGGTCCTGCTGGGTACCACAGTGCCACTAATTAAGGGTCAAACAAGGAATCTTTATCAATGTACACCAATTTTCAAAAAATTTGAGAAATGAGTTTGATAAATTTCCAAGGTTCACACTGAAAAAGAAAAAGTTTGTTGAATCATTTGAATTCAATGATATAACATCGTGTTTCCTTGTCTTAAATGATTTCAACAAAACAATCTATAATAATAATTTTAATTAAATAATTTCTTTTAGAATTTAAGGTTTAATGTTAAAATGTAAGATTTAGAGTCTAAGATTTCCAGTGAGTTTGTAAAAGTTTTCTCACGAAGAATAATATACTAATAAAAATATTTACATATATTATTTTAAGATTTTGAATTCTGTATCTTGATTTTTTATATTGTATGTTTATACTTGTGTTAAATCTTCCTGACTTTTTGGGAAGCGAAAAACATAGTCATCAATATTAACTTAGAATAAAAATCATTAGACGTCATAAAGAAAAAAAAATAAAGTACAAATCATATGTAAGAATTACATATTTTAATATTCTAATTTTGCTAAATACCATTTTCTACAATAAAGACACATATGCGGGTTAAGAAAAAAACAAACAACTCAACAAAAATCAAATACAAATAAATTACTTAAAAGATTACACCATTTTACGACATATTATTGGTGAGTTGCTCAAACAAAATTATTTTTACTTTCAAAATCAATCGTAAAAATTGAAAAGTTATCATAATTACACAATTACCAAGTAATATGCAAAAATATTTTTTATAACAATTATTTATATCGATTATAATCCACAATATATAAAAGGTGACACAATAACATAACTATAAATAAGATAATATTTTCTTATACCTATAACATGAATTTTTTTTGTAATAAAGAAGAAAAAAATTTTCTATATCGATTTTAGTTATAACTCCAATATAAAAAGTGGATGCGATGACATTTTTGTAATAAATAAAAAAACTTTCTATATCAGTTTTAATTGAAATTGAATGTGGTGACATTTTTGTAATAAATAAAAAAAAAATTATATCAGTTCTAATTATAATCTATATAGAAAGTGGACGTGGTGTCAATTTTGTAATAAATAAGAAAATTTTCTATACCAATTTTAATTATAACCAATATAGAAAATAGTTTCTTATTTTTTTTTCTTTTATTTGTAAATAGAGGGTTCCGAAATCCCTAACCCTCGTTCTTCTTTTTTCCCTTTCTCACTCTCATCTCATTCTCCTTCATCATTTGACACACTAACCAGATTTAAATAAAAGCCTTGTCACTTACATGCTGGTGTGTTGGAGATCTAGTGAAGTTGTGTTTTGCAGACGGAGCCAATATGCTTTTGTATGTTGTTCCTGGTAGCAAATATGCTTCAGGCACGGTGGAACTCGCATTCAACGTGGCCCGCGATGCAAATTTATACGTAGTATAACAATTTCAAAATTGTCACTTGTTTTTTTTCTTCTGAGAAGAACATATGGCCACAGTTATTTTAACAACTATTGTTGTATCTACTTTTTGTAGCAATTCCCTGAACAATCGAGACAAAAAGGTTAATCAAAATTTCAAAATTGTCACTTGTTTTTTTTCTTCTGAGAAGAACATATGGCCACAGTTATTTTAACAACTATTGTTGTATCTACTTTTTGTAGCAATTCCCTGAACAATCGAGACAAAAAGGTTAATCAAAATTTCAAAATTGTCACTTGTTTTTTTTCTTCTGAGAAGAACATATGGCCACAGTTATTTTAACAACTATTGTTGTATCTACTTTTTGTAGCAATTCCCTGAACAATCGAGACAAAAAGGTTAATCAAAATTTCAAAATTGTCACTTGTTTTTTTTCTTCTGAGAAGAACATATGGCCACAGTTATTTTAACAACTATTGTTGTATCTACTTTTTGTAGCAATTCCCTGAACAATCGAGACAAAAAGGTTAATCAAAATTTCAAAATTGTCACTTGTTTTTTTTCTTCTGAGAAGAACATATGGCCACAGTTATTTTAACAACTATTGTTGTATCTACTTTTTGTAGCAATTCCCTGAACAATCGAGACAAAAAGGTTAATCAAAATTTCAAAATTGTCACTTGTTTTTTTTCTTCTGAGAAGAACATATGGCCACAGTTATTTTAACAACTATTGTTGTATCTACTTTTTGTAGCAATTCCCTGAACAATCGAGACAAAAAGGTTAATCAAAATTTCAAAATTGTCACTTGTTTTTTTTCTTCTGAGAAGAACATATGGCCACAGTTATTTTAACAACTATTGTTGTATCTACTTTTTGTAGCAATTCCCTGAACAATCGAGACAAAAAGGTTAATCAAAATTTCAAAATTGTCACTTGTTTTTTTTCTTCTGAGAAGAACATATGGCCACAGTTATTTTAACAACTATTGTTGTATCTACTTTTTGTAGCAATTCCCTGAACAATCGAGACAAAAAGGTTAATCAAAATTTCAAAATTGTCACTTGTTTTTTTTCTTCTGAGAAGAACATATGGCCACAGTTATTTTAACAACTATTGTTGTATCTACTTTTTGTAGCAATTCCCTGAACAATCGAGACAAAAAGGTTAATCAAAATTTCAAAATTGTCACTTGTTTTTTTTCTTCTGAGAAGAACATATGGCCACAGTTATTTTAACAACTATTGTTGTATCTACTTTTTGTAGCAATTCCCTGAACAATCGAGACAAAAAGGTTAATCAAAATTTCAAAATTGTCACTTGTTTTTTTTCTTCTGAGAAGAACATATGGCCACAGTTATTTTAACAACTATTGTTGTATCTACTTTTTGTAGCAATTCCCTGAACAATCGAGACAAAAAGGTTAATCAAAATTTCAAAATTGTCACTTGTTTTTTTTCTTCTGAGAAGAACATATGGCCACAGTTATTTTAACAACTATTGTTGTATCTACTTTTTGTAGCAATTCCCTGAACAATCGAGACAAAAAGGTTAATCAAAATTTCAAAATTGTCACTTGTTTTTTTTCTTCTGAGAAGAACATATGGCCACAGTTATTTTAACAACTATTGTTGTATCTACTTTTTGTAGCAATTCCCTGAACAATCGAGACAAAAAGGTTAATCAAAATTTCAAAATTGTCACTTGTTTTTTTTCTTCTGAGAAGAACATATGGCCACAGTTATTTTAACAACTATTGTTGTATCTACTTTTTGTAGCAATTCCCTGAACAATCGAGACAAAAAGGTTAATCAAAATTTCAAAATTGTCACTTGTTTTTTTTCTTCTGAGAAGAACATATGGCCACAGTTATTTTAACAACTATTGTTGTATCTACTTTTTGTAGCAATTCCCTGAACAATCGAGACAAAAAGGTTAATCAAAATTTCAAAATTGTCACTTGTTTTTTTTCTTCTGAGAAGAACATATGGCCACAGTTATTTTAACAACTATTGTTGTATCTACTTTTTGTAGCAATTCCCTGAACAATCGAGACAAAAAGGTTAATCAAAATTTCAAAATTGTCACTTGTTTTTTTTCTTCTGAGAAGAACATATGGCCACAGTTATTTTAACAACTATTGTTGTATCTACTTTTTGTAGCAATTCCCTGAACAATCGAGACAAAAAGGTTAATCAAAATTTCAAAATTGTCACTTGTTTTTTTTCTTCTGAGAAGAACATATGGCCACAGTTATTTTAACAACTATTGTTGTATCTACTTTTTGTAGCAATTCCCTGAACAATCGAGACAAAAAGGTTAATCAAAATTTCAAAATTGTCACTTGTTTTTTTTCTTCTGAGAAGAACATATGGCCACAGTTATTTTAACAACTATTGTTGTATCTACTTTTTGTAGCAATTCCCTGAACAATCGAGACAAAAAGGTTAATCAAAATTTCAAAATTGTCACTTGTTTTTTTTCTTCTGAGAAGAACATATGGCCACAGTTATTTTAACAACTATTGTTGTATCTACTTTTTGTAGCAATTCCCTGAACAATCGAGACAAAAAGGTTAATCAAAATTTCAAAATTGTCACTTGTTTTTTTTCTTCTGAGAAGAACATATGGCCACAGTTATTTTAACAACTATTGTTGTATCTACTTTTTGTAGCAATTCCCTGAACAATCGAGACAAAAAGGTTAATCAAAATTTCAAAATTGTCACTTGTTTTTTTTCTTCTGAGAAGAACATATGGCCACAGTTATTTTAACAACTATTGTTGTATCTACTT